GCCCGGGTTCGATCCTCAGCACCACATACCAACAAAGATGTTGTGTCCGCCGAGAACTAAAAAAAATAAATATTAAAAAATTCTCTCTCTCTCTCTCTCCTCTCTCACTCTCTTTAAAAAAAAAAAAAAAGTACTAGGGATGTGGGTCAGAGGTAAAGGCACCTTTGGGTTCAATCCCCAGTACCATAATAATAACAATAATGTTATTAATAATAATATTATTAATGATAATGTTATTGTTATTATTATTATAAGTTTTATGAATTTAGTCAACTAATCTGAACCAGTGTTGGCCTTCATGTCCACACTCAGACTTAATAAGTTGCAATAAAATCAAGTGTCTGTCAAGGTATGATCATGTATAATGCAGCTTAGCTCACCACTACAAGACAATGAGTGTGCTTCCCTTCTCAGCATGCAAGGTAAACTGCTTTTGTGGAAAAATTTCAAACTTCATTAGACAGCGGTGGGGATGTGGTGGAGTTGACCACGCAAGTTATTTTTTATTGGCTGATTAAGGGATCAAGCTCAGTAAGGGATACAAGTCCGAGCTTCAGTAGCTCAGACTCTGGTTTTATGTGCTACCATCCAGGTTTCTACAGATGTCCAAAGGAGCCTCAGTTGAGCTCCAAAAGACTCAGATGATGACTGTAGCTGGGGCTCCAGGTAATCTGTAACCCCTTGGAATACAGGTGATGGCTTTATATGGTTTATATCTAAAATGTTCTTTCTCTCTCTCCCCCCACTTCCATCCCCCATCACGAAGTGAGCCTCTTGCTCAACCACATGTTCCCAGCCAAAATGTTCTGCCTTGCCTCAGGCCCAAAGCAATGGAGCCAAATGACCATGAACTGAAATCTCTGAAACCATGAGAGAAAATAATTTCCTCCTTCAGGTTTTTTCCACAGTATTTTGTCACAGCATCGAGCTGCTGACAGAAGACTGCTTCCCTTCTAAGCCTCCTCTGCCTTCTTTCCTAAACCTTGTCTAGGAATCTTTGCATCACAGAAGCCTAAAGGGAGCAAACAAAGGCTATAACAATGGCTCTGGCCAAGCAGAACTTGCCCAGCATTCAGACTACCTCAGCTCATAGCCCTCAACTCCACTATAGCATGTGGACTTGGACTTGTGCTATCACAAGCAGATGGAGTCAGAAAGGCTTGTCCACCTCTACCTGAGCCTTACAGGGCAGCTAAGTAACTCAGGTTTGACAAGGATGTGTGTCGGGTAAGGAAGGGGTGGGCCACAGTGAGGGGTGGGGTTGGCAGTCAGGGACTGGTCTTGCTGAAACAAAGGAGCCTGGGTAAGCCTGTGTGGCATGGCTCTGGCTAGGTGGTGAAGAGGGGCCCACTTCTGTCCCTATAGTAGGATAGGTTGTGTACAGCATCCCTCCAGCAAGGGGGCAAAAATAAGTTGGTGGCTAACAGTGACTTTTGAAAAGCAGAGGGATTATACATGATAGTACAATCCATGTAGAACTAAAAAGAACCAGCAATTTTTTAAAAAGCAAAGGGGTTTAATTTTGATGAACTATAATTTATTACTTTTTTATATTTTATACTTTTTGTGTCATGTAAGAAATCTCTGTCAAACACAAAGACACTTAAGATCCGTTTCCTGTTTTCCTCTAGAAGTCTTTAACATTTTTAGCTTTTACATTTAGGCCTATGATCCATCATAAATTAATTCCGATATATGTAAGGACATGTAATAATTTTTCAAATATATCCAACTGGACCAGATAAGATGTTGAAAAAGCATGCCCCCCCACACTGAACTTCCTTTTTACCTTTATTGAAAACAAAGCAATTAGATATGGTATAGAACTATTTCTAGACTCCTGAAATTCCAGATCTCCATCTACCATGATGCCAATACCATACTGTCCTGATTTCTGTAGCTTTGTATTGTCTTAAAAAGTCCTGTTGTGTGACCTCTCCAAAWTTTTTTTTTTTGTCATTTGGGTTATTAAAAACTCTTTGTAGTTAAATATGAATTTTTAAACTAATTTGTAATAAACTTTTATCCTTCCATCCTCCATTGGGCTTGGTTAAGGTTGAATAAAATCATTGGGGAAGACTGACATTTTAAAAATATGGAGGATCCGACCCACAAACACAGTATATACCCCATGTCTTCATTCATTTCCCTCAGAAATGTCTTGTTATTTTTCACTGCATAGGGCTTCAGATCTTTTTTTTCCTCAAATTTATTCCTAAGATTTTGATATTTAACATTACTGAAACTTCTATTTTTATTTGAATTTGATTGCACATAGCCAATACACAGAAGTACAATAAAATTTTGCATATCATTCTTGTATCCTGCAACCATACTAAACTGACTTACTACCTACCGGCCTTTGGTTAATAATACTGGATTCTCTAGAGGTTATCATCATTTGTTTTTGTGCTAGCAATTGAACCCTGGGCCTCTCATGCCAAACACACACTCTGCCTCTGAGCTACACCCCCAGCCCCTGAAGATCCTTTCCAATATATGTATATTTTTTTCCTACTGCACTCTACAACCTCTAGAGAAATGCTCAGAAGTAGAGTTGGCATCCTTGCATTGAGCTCAGTTTAAGGTCTGCATTCAGACATTCACTATTTAGTATGCATGTTAGGTTTGTTTTGTGGGTTTTTTAAATAGAAGCTTTATCAAGGTGAAGAAATTTTCTTTAAATCCTAAATGTACTTAGAGCATTTACCATGAGTTATTTGCATAGAATTGTTGAACTTCTCCATCTACTTAGTCATGATTTTCCTTTAGCATTGTTAATGTGGTAAATTTCATTAACTTTCCAATGTTAACTCTACCTTGCATTCCTGAAATAAATCTCACTTAGTTTGTTACCCAGTGTATTTATGAAGGTATTTTGTAGAATCTGATTTGCTAAAATTTTGTTGAAAATGTGTTTATGTTCATGAGGGATGATGATCCAATTTCCTTGAAACACCTGTGTGTGGTTTGGGGATCAGGGCAATACTGGCCTCAGAAGACTCAAGTGTTCTTTCCTCTTTAGTTTTCAGAGAGAAGTTGTGTAAAATTAGTATTATTTCTTCTTTTAAAATGTGGTAACAAGTACCACATCTATACCTAGAGTGTTCTTTGTGAGAGGAACTAAAAATCAAATTCTCTTACAATAGGACTACTTACACAACTCACAATAGCTAGTCTGTAGAACCAACCCAGATGCCCTTCAATAGATGAATGGATAAAAAAAAAATGTGGCATTTATACACAATGGAGTATTACGCAGCACTAAAAAATGCCAAAATCATGGAATTTGCAGGGAAATTGATGGCACTAGAGCAGATTATGCTAAGTGAAGCTAGCCAATCCCTAAAAAACAAATGCCAAATGTCTTCTTTGATATAATGAGAGCAACTAAGAACAGAGCAGGGAGGAAGAGCAGGAGGAAAAGATTAACATTAAACAGAGACATGAGGTGGGAGGGAAAGGGAGAGAAAAGGGAAATTGCATGGAAATGGAAGGAGACCCTCATTATTATACAAAATTACATATATGAGGTTGTGAGGAGAATGGAAAAAAAACAAGGAGAGAAATGAATTACAGTAGATGGGGTAGAGAGAGAAGATGGGAGGGGAGGGGAGGRGGGATAGTAGAGGATAGGAAAGGTAGCAGAATACAACAGTYACTAATAKGGCATYATGTAAAAATGTRGAYRTGTAACMGATGTGATTCTGCAATCTGTATTTGGGGTAAAAATGGGAGTTCATAACTCACTTGAATCTAATGTATGAAATATGATATGTCAAGAGCTTTGTAATGTTTTGAACAACCAATAAAAAGAAAAATAGGACTACTTAGGTTTTCTATTTCTTGAGTAAACTGAGATAATTTCTACCTTCCAAGGAATTTGTGTTTATTTCATTTAAATCATCAAGTGTGCTGCCCTAAGTGTTTCAGATAGTCTCTAATGATCATAAACATCTGCATAATCTGTAGTGGTGTGATCTCTCTCCTGACAGGGGTAATCTGTCATATCTTTTTCTCCTAACCAGTCTAGACAGAGGTTTATGAATTTTTTAAGCTTCTCAAAGAAACAGCTTTAATTTTCTGCTGTTTTTCTGTTTTCTCTCTCTAGTGTCACTGAATTCTGCTCTACTTTGCTACTTTTCTTCTTACACTTCAATTTGATACTGTTTTTCTACTTTGGAAAAGTGGAAATAGAAATTATTACTGAGACCTTTTTACTCCTATCATAGGCAGTTAGTCCTATAAATTTTCATCTGAATATTACTTTAGTTGCACCATAAGATACAAGGCCAACACACAAAAATCATTTGTATTTCTATATATCAGCAATGAACAAGCATAATTCAAAAATTAGAAAAACAAAACTATTTATAATAATGGCCAGAAAATAAATATTTAACAAAATATGTACAAGATAATGTATGCCAAAACTACAATGTGCTGATGACAGAAACTATAAAATGTGAATACACGGAGACATATCACATGCACGAATCACAAAACTCACTATTGTAAGTATGTGAATTTACCTCCAAACTCATCTATAATGAAATTCCAATGGAAACCCAAGCAGGACTTTTGTATAGATAGACCAATTCTAAAATATATGTAGAAAGGTAAAATTAATAGTAAAAACAAATTGGAAAGGAAAAAGAAATCTGGAGGGTTTAAATTATCAGATTTTGAGATTATTACAAAGTATGGCAATCTTGGCCATGTGGTTTTGGCAAAAGAAGAGACACAGATGAATGAAGAAAAAAAGTCCTATATAGGCCCATATGAATGTGGCTAACTGATTCTTGACAGAGATACAAAGGACATTCAGTGGAGGAAGGACAGTCTTTTCAACAAATGGTGCTGAAACAACYAGACATCCGTCCACGTGCCCCAAATAAAAACAAAAAGCATGAACCTCACACTTTAAAAAGTTATCTCAAACTAAAAGTTATCTCATGTCTAAATATAACATTTAGAATAAGAAAACATCCAGAAGGAAACATACAAAAGCTTTGGGACTTGACGCTAAACAAAGATTTCTTTTGGACATGACACCAAAAAAGTATAACCCATAAAATGATAAGTAGACTTGCTGAATTTAAAATGTTTGCTCTGTGACTGGAAGTAAATGAAAAGGCAAGCTGCAGAACGGCAGAAAATAGTACAGAGCACGTATCTGGCAGCAGATTTGTATTTACACCACGCAAGGATTCTTAAATTTAATGGTTAAACAACACAATTTAGGACTGAGACTTGAACAGATTCTTCACCAAAAATGATATACAGAAGGCAAATAGGCACTTGAAAAAATATTCACCCTTTTCAGCCTTGAGGAAATATTAAAACCATGAGACACCACTACACTCCTATTATAGTGGATAAAGAAATACGGACAACATCAAGTGCTGATCAAGACACAACTGAAATTGCCTTTCTGTTGAATAAGTGCTTCTTGGACACGCTGTATCAATATGCTTATCAGAGTGAAAATTTGATGTTATGATTTCAGACAAAGACATGCTCTCCAGTTTACTTAACGTAAGTTTCCAGTCAGGAGAACAGATGGAACAAATCTGCATGTCCACCATATTTGAATGAACTGTAAAATGTTTTTCTTCGCATGGGCAGAATCTTCTAACTTTGGTTTATCATGTGTGTTCACAATTTCTTTTCTTTTTAAAGCATTCTTCTATTTAGCCTTTATTTTGTCCTAAAGTAGGGGTCAGGAAGTTTTTCTGTACAGGTTCAGACAACAAAAATTGTCAGCTTTATAAGCCACAAGGCTTCTGCTGCAAAACTTAATTCTACCCTCAAGTGAGAGCAGGTGGGGACGGACAGACCAACCAGCATTTCCAATCTGCATGTTCCAATAAAACTAAAAGTTGACTGTGGCTTGATCTGGCCCATGGGCCATAGTTTACCAACCTCGACTCTAGGGACTTAGAGCAACAGGACACCTAGTAGCCAGGACCAGGGCCACTCTTGATTGGCACCAACCATTTAATTAGCAGCTGTCTGGTTTCAATGTTGGGGCACTCTCACACTGCCCTGGTCCCAAGGTGGTCTCAAAGGACCTCCTTTTTTTCTAATCAGAGCTCATGCATTTGAACTCTTTCAAGTCCTTTCACCACCCATGCAGCAAGGGTGGAGCCTGAGGAGTAGCTAGGCTGAGGGACTAAGTGGCAGGGCTGTGTCAAGGCCTAAGTCTTTCCAAAAGAATGAAATTCCTTTACTAACCAAGCATCTTCACTGCCCCATCACGAAATCATTAAAGTGTCTCCCCAGGTATTGGATTCAGCCCTCAAGTCAGTACCTCTGGGGCGGGATCCCACCACCAGTGACCACGGAACACACCCAGGTGAAGGAGCAGTGCCTTGCTTCTCCAGACGGTCTGTTGGCCAGAGACACATGCCTGCAGGACCAGGATCCGGGGCATGATGCCACAGAGCCTGGTCTTCACGACATCCACAGAAGGCTGGAAAGAATGCACTTTATTAATCTACCTCTAAAACTCTACAGACTAAAATTCTGCTGAATTGTAATAATCTATTTACACAGTGCTGCCTGCAGGCTGGTTAGGGCTGGGCCTGCTTCCTCCCCAGCCATCCACCAAGCCCATGGCCCCCACAGGCCTGGGGCCACCTTCCATCTGCAGCACAAACACCCGCACACCAAGGAGGCTCACAGCCACCTGACCAAGCCCTCAGCACTGACAGACCAAGCAGGAGGATGTCAGCCAACAGAGAGACAGACAGACAGATGGGCGCAGAGACAGCAGAGAGGCCATGGGCCTGCTTCAGTACTTCTTCAGACTGTGGACCAGGATGCCAGGAGTCCTGGTGCCCCGCAGGGGCGGCGAGTTCCAGACAGCCGAGCTGGTGCGCTTGTGGTAGCGGGGCTTGCTCTTCTTGAAGATGTCCTCCAAGTCAGGCAGGAGAATGGGTCCAAAAATCTCATCAGTGTTCAGTGGGTTACAGTATTGAGAGATGACAGCCTGTGAGAACTGGGCGCCTATGTGGAATGCAGAGGCCTGGTCAATGTCTTAGGCGCTCCATGAGGTCCCTGTCCCTTGCTCTACACACAGCCCTGCCACTCTTGCCACCCGAGCATGCCCTGCCCCTGCTCCTCTTGCAGAGTCTTCTTCAGACTCACCCGCCACCCACACCAGCTCTTGTTCGTCTGCAGTCCTCTGGCAGCTGAACCAAAGTTCCCCAAGAGCGGACAGAAGCAGGTGCTTTATTTTCCCTGTTGTGTAGATGGAAGACTTGCCCCAGGGAACAGAGCCCGTGGCTAGTGGAGCCAGGCGTGAAGACAGGTYTCGCCCAGAGCTGAAGCACCAAGCGAGCCTCCTTGCCTCAGAGCACAGGCTGACCGGGGACAGAGCCAAGGCCGTGAGAGGGCACAGCCCTGCCAGCAAAGCTGAGGAAGACCCTGAGGGATCAGAGGTAGGAACGTGCACCCAGCACTTGCCGGGCATCGGGCGCCACTCTGCACTCATTGTATTCCCCAAAAATCTCCTGAGCCAGGTTTTACTGTTAACCCAGCTAACAGATAAGTAAACTGTCTAAGGTCAACTAAGCTTAGGTGGCTTCTCTGCTGGCACTGGCCCCTGCTCACTGCAGCCTCTTGGGTGACTTGACACTTCTAGTTCGACCAAGATTCCAGCTATCGTGGGGTTCAAAGGAAGTGAAATTGACAAAAGCAAGCTGTCTTCTGTAGAGCGCTGACCCCCTGTGGGATTCCGGGCTGGGACCGGTCTGGCCCTCTGGAGGTCTGCATCCTGCCCCGACCCCCAGCACACACCCTGCAAACCACTACTGATGGCACCAGGCCCTGCTCCACGCCGGCAGGCCTCGCACCCAGCCCAGGGCAGCAGTCTCGCTCACCCGCACGCTGTTTAGATGCTGGGGCCTGTAAATTCCAGGTCAAATCCTGATCAAGTGTCCCGTGGCCCTCCTCCAGGTCTTTCCTGCCATTCCCAATGGCTTGAAGCCCCTGGCTCCAGCTCTTGGCACTCTGCCTAAACCCTACTACCATCCTCAGCCCGACAGGTTGCTAATGTGGGTCTAAGCCTCATTTGCCCTCCTGAGTGGGGCTCTAAGAGGAGCTTGAGTCCATCAGAGCGCCTGGTAGCATGCCTTGCCTGGGCTGGCCACAATGTACTCACTAAGAAAACAGGCACCCACCACCCTAGACTGGTCCTCAGATGAGCCCACAGGCCCAATGCAGGCTTCTTAGGCCAATTTCTCAAGCTGCCAACCCCAGCACAATAGCCTGGCCCCCTGCAACAGTCTACCTGCCATTTCCAGGGCCTGAGAAAGTGAGGAGAGGCAAAGGCCTGAGTCTCCTGGGCACTCTAGGCCCTGCTTACCTTGGGCCCAGTGGGGAATAGGCTTCCGGGGGTTGGCCTCATCATCAGTAGAGTCATCACTATTCAGGTCCATCCCATAATCATCTGTAACGATTATGGGGCAGGTCCTGGGCCCTTGTGGAGTCATTTGATATGAGGTACAAACTGGAGACTGGGGGGAAAAAAAAAAAAAAATCAATATGGCCATCACCTCCCTTCCCCTACCCTCCTACATCCCACCACTGGGGGACGCTGGGCTCCAGCCACCTTCCCTCACCTCACAGGAAAAAACAAAAGGTTTAGGGTCACATTTTAATCTTAAAAAGTCACAGAATACATACTACTCTGCATATTCATTTTCCACACAAATATTTTTCCAGGTCAGTGTGTCCAGATTCACCTCTCAGATCCATGATCTTCAACTTAACCCTCCGACACAGATGGACAGACCCAACTTCCAGTTTTCAACATCTTAACTTTGCTGCAGTGAAAACCCTTCCTTCACACTGTTTTGTTTGGTATCATCACMGAACTGAAAATAGCTGAAATGCTCAGCAGGAGCTGGCTAAAGTATAAAGGATGGGGACACAGACATCGAAAATAAGAAATGCACAGGGGGCAGAGCTGGGGAGAGAGATTGGCCAGAATACATTGTTATATTGTGTGCCTGCACCAACAGGCACCAACGAATCCCATCATCACCTACAACAGTAATATACCAAGGGGAAAAAATGTGGAAATGCACATATGTTGATATCTCACTTCAGTTAGAAGGGCAAACATCAAGAATAAAACAAAAATAAATGTTCAAAAGGGTGTGAGGAAAAACGAACATTTTTACACAGTTGATGGGATTATGTATCAGTACAACCACTATGGAAATCAGTATGGCAGTTCCTCAAAAGACAGGAATGAAACCACCATATGACCCAGCTATGCCACTGCTCAGTATCTACCCAAAAGAACCAAGCCAGTGCACTATAGCAACACAGACACGCCCATATTCATAGCAGCAAAATTTACAATAGCCAAATCACGGAACCAGCCTTTTTTTTTTTTAAAGAGAGAGAATCTTTTTTTTAATATTTATTTTTTAGTTTTTGGTGGACACAACATCTTTATTTTATTTTTATGTGGTGCTGAGGATCGAACCCAGTGCCCTGTGCATGCCAGGCGAGCGTGCTAGGGCTTGAGCCACATCCCCAGCCCCTGGAACCAGCCTTGATGTTTACCGATAGAAAAAAGGTATATGTACATAATGGAGTTTTATTCAGTCGTAAATAAGAACAAAATTATGTCATTTGCAGGAAAATGGATGGAACTTGAGATGATGKTAAATGAAATAAGCCAGATTCAGAAACTCAAGGGACATGTGATTGTCTCTCATGTGCAGAAATTAGAGAGGAAAAAAGAAAAAAAGGGTGGTGGGAGGGGGAGGATCTCATAAAAATAGAAGGGAAACCAGAAGAACAGAGGAAGGGTATCAGAGAAGGAAGGACGGGGAGGGAAAGGGGAGGTAATGGGGAATGAGACTGATCAAATTATGCTGGGTGCATGTACAAATACATCACAATGAATTCCACTATTCGTATAATTATAATGCACCAGTTTAAAAAAATGGGGAAAAAAAGAAATGCACGTGTTGAAATGTCTATAATATACACTAAATGAAAAAAGAAAAATCAAACTTCCAAATAGTATATGGTCATACTCATTTAAAAATGTACAAGTGTATATGTATGGAAAAGTACGTCCATGTGTTTGTGTGCATGACCTGGTTACATATGTAAAACTCTAAGATATATATTAAGTTTAGTAGTTTCCCAAGGGCCCTTTTTTTAAACTTTATACTTTTATTAAAACTTTTTTTTTAGTAACAAATTCTACTTTTAGAATATAAAAATAATATACCTATCAAAAACAGTAGATACAACAAGGAGGTGGACCATCCTCCTTAAGGTCCTAACTTATAAAGCCCCTGTCTGGACAGAGAACAAGAGCAGGCCCCTGGCCACCCTGGGCACTGGTCTCACCTGCACATCTATGGTCACATTCAGGCCCTTGCTGGCTCCAGTCGCCTTCTTGGCTTTGTGCTCCTGCTCCTCCTGCAGCTGCTGCTCAGCCAGGCGCTGCTGCTCCTCCTGCAACCCAGCCAACAATAGGGTGTTGTATATGTGCCCCACTGCCACCCCAGGCAGCACAGCAGGCCAGGCAGGCCCTGCGCCAGAGACTGAAATCAGGCTACCATCTCCCCAGCCACAGCCCAGCAGGCCCAGAGAAGCCCACCCTTGACTTCCCCCTACCTTCTTCTTCTCCTGCAGTTCCCTCTGCAGTCGCTCCTTCTGTAGCCGCAGGGCCTTCTCCCTCTCCTGCAGCTCCCTGAGTACCAAGCAAGAGCCTGTCAGGGCAGGAAGCAGAGCCCTGGCCCTGTTCCCACCCTGCTAGGGAAACCATGCCAGTGGGTATGCCTTAGAGGATGGGATGGCAAAATGGGATACCAACTCAGAGCCACAACTGCACTTTTGCCCCAAAGGCAGGGTGTCTGCACCCTGAAGGGCCCTGCCTTGACAATCACTAGCATGCAGTTCCCACTCCACCAGACAACTCAGGTCTCAGCCTCACTCTTCTCTTATGCGATGGGACTGTAACACCTTTCTTCTAGCATTGTCACAAGAGTCAAATGAAACCTTCTGTGCTACCTGCAATCATTCTAACCCACAGGGCAGACACCAGCTCAACCCATGAAGCAGAGGAGGGGCTGTGATGGATCTGGCATCCCCTCTACAACAAACTAGCTCATGACCTTGAACAAGTCACATAACCTTTCTGAACCAGTTACTTCCTCTGTGAAGTGGAGCTGATGGTTCCTAAGCCACAGTGAGCTTCAAGTGAGGACGCAAGAAGCGTGGGTAAAACACAGCTTGGTACCCACCACGGCTACCATTATAATTATCCTGTCACCCCTCGTAGGGTGACGATACCACCCTGCACTATCCAATTCTAAAACCACATTAGCTGCCACCCCTTTCTCCTGTCTTGGACTTCAACCTCCAACTCTGTCCATAGGACTAGGGACAACTTTATGTCAATCAATAAGCACCAGAAGACAGCACTATCACAGTCCAGCCCTTTGGCTGTGACTCCTCACTTCTCCGTTAAGCCTGTATCCACCACAAAGATGGCGTTTCCCAGGAGATGGGGCACGAAAGAGGACAGCTGCTGGGCCACACACACTCGTGGGCACAGTTCTCTCACATCTCCTGGCCAACAGTGAGTGTGGCTTTTGTCCCTGACATCCCCAGAACCCCAGCGACCAGGCACAGGTGGGCCTCAGGTAACTACTTGGAAAACTAACTGCAGAATCCTCTCCTGCCTCACAGAGACCACTCCTCGGCACAGCCAGCAGGTCCCAGGGTTCATGGAATCCAGAGTCCCCAAGGTGGGGAGCTGGGGTGGGAGGCACCCTGGGTCATCCTCATCACCATGGGGTATACATCTGGTGGGGGCAGGGCCCAGAGTGCTGAAGGCCCCATGCTGCATCACAAAGATCCCTCTGGCCCAAAATGCCAGTTTTGTTAACAGAAAAAACAAACCTGTGGGCTTCCGGTAGTCCCAGCCCACAGCAGCCCTGCTGGGAAGTGCTAGCCTGCCTGTCGCTGAGGAAAAGACATCAAAAAGGCAGCACCACTGCCTGCAGGCAGAACAGGCCCCGAGCCAGGCCACCCCTCCCATGGCTCCTGCGTCTGCTGTAGACAAAGTGCACCCTACTCGGAGGCCAGCAGCCATGGGCACCCGGCTCTGAAGGTAAGGAAAGAGCCTGCCAACCCAAGAGAAGCTGGAGACAACACACCGCCTCATTCCCACGCACGGGAAGGCAGGCTATGAGCAGGGCCTCACCTCTCGGCCTGGAGCCGCTCCTGCTCCCTCTTGCGCTCCTGCTCCCTCTTGCGCTCCTCTGCCAGCTGCCGCTCCTGCTCGCGTTGCTCTGCCAGCCGCCGCTCCTGCTCGCGTTGCTCTGCCAGCCGCCGCTCTTGCTCGCGTTGCTCTGCCAGCCGCCTGGCCTCGGCCTTGTGCAACCGCTCCTGCTCCTCCTCCTTCTTCTTCTGCAATTGCTCTTGATGGCGCCGCTCCTCCTCTTCCTGAGACAGCCGTGCAGAGGCGGGTAAGGGCACTCTCGCCAGCCAGGGCTCCCAGGAAGGGAGAGGCTGGCCGAAGGGGTGAGGGGCTGTACCAACCCAGGGTCCTCTGGCACAGGCAGCGGCAGGGGCTAAGCCGCCAGGTGGGCTGCCAGGTGAAGTTCTGTGAGCGCCACCATGGCCAGGCTGAAAAGGCATCTGGTGACACCAACAGAGGCAGATTCAACAAGCAAGGGCAGAGGCTGGAGTAACACTCAGTAAGTCACACCAGCTGTGTAACACTCAGTAAGTCACTTAACAACGCTGGCCATGGCTTCCTCATCCATAAAATGGGAACAAGAATAGTATCTGACGCCCCAGGGAGTTATGAGTTCACCCACATGACACTTAGGACAGTGCCCGCACAGAACTCCCTAATGACAGATTCCACTCCCTACAGGAGTGAGACACAGTTCCCAGGGAGAGGCAGGCCCCTCCTGTTCAGAGGAAGGGTGGCTCTAAGGGCAATCATGTGGAAGACTTTTAGCACATGCCAGACACCGCCTGACGACCTCACATCAGGTGACACTTTTAACCTTCACAATAACACTATCCAGAAGATACTGCTCCCACTGCAAGTAACAGAAGCAGAGAGGTCAGGTAACCTGCCCAAGGTAACACAGCTAACAAATGGCAGAGCTCTCAGAAGTCTGACTCCAAATGCATGCACCTCACCCTCAAAATGCCCTCTTCCTCAGAGACAGGGGGCAGGTTACAGTCACCATCCCCACCCCCGAGGTACTTGCTGTTCCTCCTCCTGGGCTCAAAGCAACAAGATCCACCAGAATCAACCCCAATAGAAGGTGTGCCCAGCAGGTTCTTGGGCACCAAGGCAGTGACCTTCCTGCCCACCCCCTTCCCTGCAGCCCTCCTGCATCGCACCTGATGGAGCCACTTGAGCCTGCGCGCTTCCTCCTCCTGCTTCCTACGCGCCTCCACTTCCTCCATCTTCCTGGCCGCCGCCTTTTTCTTGGCCTTCTCCTCTGCCAGCCGCTCCTCCTTGGCCTGCAGAGTCCACCCGCACGTGCCCATTGGTGGAGGCCCTCACACAGCTCCACAGAGTAGGGCCCAGAACTTTGCGTGATGGGTACCGGTGCCACTAAAAACCGTGACTGCTCCCCACAGCCCAGAGAAAGGGCAACGGCCTCCATCCAGCGGGTCAGTTCTGCCTACTCGCAAAAGGCTGCTGGGAAAACCCAGAGCCCAGAATTTCAGCCCTTGGCTTGGTTCAGAATGGCCTTCAGGGCCCACGATACAGACAGGATAGCGTGTTAAACCCACAGCTTCCCAAGAGGCCCAGCCCCACCCCCAGCCTGCTAGGTCTGAGAGCTCAGGCCCCACCAGGGAGAGCCCACCCCGCATGGCAGCCCCAGCCCAGGCTCTCACCTTCTCGGTCTTCTCATCGATCTGAGCAAACTTCTGCTCTATCTGCTTCTTCTTCTCCTCCTTCATCTGCTCCACGCGCTCTCGGGCCTGCATCACCTTGCGGAGGCGCTCCTCACGCTTCCTACAGGCACAGAGAGTCTTACGAGACCCGGGAGGGCTGGGGCTGGGAAGGGCAGGGTCAGGGGCCAGGCCACTTACAGCTTCACCTCCTCCAGCCGCCGCCGCTTGTCCTCCTCCACCTTCTGCCTGCGCAGCTGCTCAGCCTCCTCCTTCCGCCGCAGGTTCTCCAGGCGTTGGCGCTCCTTCTCCTGGGGGTGAGAGGGGCTGGGACATGAGCAAGGACTAACCCCACTCCAAAGGCTGCCCAGCCTCAGCCAGGTGGACAGCAGCAGAGAATGTTCCTTAGAGGCAGAGGTGCCCCTAGCATGTCCTCCATGCTCACCCAGGCTGGGCAGGGGCTTCAGTCTCTGCTCCCAGGAGGATCCAAATGCCTCCAAGGGCCGGAGTCACAAAGCACCCTCAGCTGAGCCCTGCCAAGTTATGGGCAGCACAAAAATCAGGCTCAAAATTGAAATGTGTGTGCTGATTCAATAAATAATGCATTTGAAAAAGAGAATGGAGGCTGGGATTGGGAAGGGACAAGAAGACAGCTTTGACAGCTCTGGCTGCTGTTCTGCATAAGGGGCCAGCACACACACAAGCACTGTCACCATCATGCTTTATAACGTACACTATTTGTGAATACTTTATTCTTTTGTGTACATCAACTATTTCAGAAGCATTGAAAACAATAAAGTATTGTCAAGTGCTAACAAAGGTTACTATGGTGAGACAGATTAAATATGATATTTCTTAATTTTCCGAATTCCCATGATAGAATTTTTTAAAACAAGTTTTTAAAAGTAGTAGTAGTAGTTGTATAGCAGATTGATGCTAGCACCCCATCTGGGCAGACCCAAAAAGCCACAGGAGGGCACAGTTAGGGCGTGGACAGTCAACAGGAGCCCCACACCCTCCCTGGCCAAGGGCAAGTCTGCTGTTTTCCCCCTAAATGGTCTGAATGGGCTGAAAATAGAGGCTGAGGCCAAGACCATAGCCCTGCATACACCACCCTCAACTGGCTTCCACTCCCTCTTTGGACTCAGCTTCCAATAGCCAGCCACCCCGCTCCCCCTCCAACTGGTTACTATCAGTTTCTCCCTGGCTCCTGGCCAACTGACCCTGACAAGAAGAGCACTCCCACCCAGAAATCTAGCAGGGACGTGGCACGATCCTCCTGAAGCTCTGGTTAAGGGCTAGAGCACAGTAGGCACGCACCACCTATTCTTCCCACCTATGACAGTCACAAAACCTGGCAGAACGCAGAGAACAGCTACTTGAAGCCTCTGAAGAATAAAGCAGCAGGCAGACCTGGAAACAAGACCAGACTCTGAAGCACCAGCAATAAGTTCTCCTTTACCTCTCCTGCCCAGCCCAGCCTGAACTCAGTGCAACCTGAAACCCCAAAGGGTCAGGATCAGCTGGGTGCAGAAGGAGAACTCCAAGAAAAGCCCCCTAGATCTGACTCAGGGAGCAGAAAGAGAAAGTCTAACAGAGACAGTACACAAATCCTTTCTGTCATGGTAACCAGGGGCTGCAGCAGACTCCAGACTATGGAACTATGTTCCTGAAAGTCTAGGCTCAACCTTGTTTATTACTCTTTGTTACTTGGTCTTTCTGCCAGGTGACCCTGGGTGCAGTCATAGAAGCACAAGGCAGAGCCAGGTAACCAAAGTCCTAGCTCCCTGGATGGAAAAGGAGAGTTCCAGAGAACGGGAAAGTACTGAAGGAATCAGGAAAGGGATTCCATGGATTATTTATGAGTTCCTAGGCTCTATTCCAGGCTGCAGATACAAGCATCTGACTCTAATTATCACACCCAAAACTAAGATAAAACAGATSACCTTCAAGCCCCTTCGGACTGGCATACACTCCGCTAGACCCATACAGCAAAGGCTTGAAAACATGAACCGACTTTGGATGCACATGCCACAGAAGACAGACGGGAACCTGCAGCCTGAAAACGAATCAAGTCGCTTGCTGCTAAATTGCAGAGTTGGTAAAAATATCAACACTCTCCATAAGATTTAAACAAGACCCAGAGCCTCAAGCCTAATAAGAAGAACATTGAGGAGACAATCCAAAAATCACCTCAACATGCAGAGAAACAGGAAAATCTCAACTGACATGGGAAAAAACAATTAACAGACTCCAAGGTGGCATGGTTGTTGGAATTTATCTGAAAAAGACTTTAGAATGGGTATTTCAAAAATGCTCTGATAAGTCATCACAAATATTTTCCCGAAAACTAGACAAACAGAAAAATCCCAGCAAAGAAACATGAGATATAAAAGACACAAATGGAAATTTTAGAACTAAAAATGCAATAACTGAAACTTTAAAATTCAATGGATAAGTTCAACAGCAGAAAAGACAGGACAAATATAGCAAAACTGAATATAAATCAATAAACATTAATCAAATTGAACAGAAAAAGTTATTGAAGAAAAATTAACCAAACTCACTGTTTTAAGACAAAATCACAAKGCCTGCAGGCGCAGTGGCACATGCCTGTAATCCCAGCAGCTCAGGAGGCTGAGGCAGGAGGACTGCAGGTTCAAAGACAGACTCAGCAACTTAGTAAGGCCCTGAGTAACTTAGCAAGACTCTATCTCAAAATAAAATTAAATAAATAAATAGGGGATGGGGCTCAGTGGTTAAGTGCCCCTGGGTTCTATCCCTGGTATCAAAAAAAAAAAAAAAAAAAACAGGTCTTCACGTGATTCATTAGTATCTTATAATCTCACAAGGAGAGGAAGGTGATGCTTAAGAACATTTAAAAAAACAATGACTGATAATTCTGCCAAATCCAGTGAAATATATGATCTTGGGATTTAAGGTCAGTGAACCACATGACCTTAACAGGAGATGCATCCAAAACTATAAAGAAATCCATGAACACATGCATCATAAGCAAACCTAAAAACTAGAAACAAAAGTAAAGTATTAAAATCAGACAAAATAAAAGGATACACTCCCTACAGAGGAACAATATTTGGAATGACTAAAGATTTCTTATGAGAAGGAAATTTTTAAAGTTTTTAAGAAAAAAAAATTATACCCAGTGTAAGCATCTTACAGAAATAGGAAGAGAGCTAGGCTCYTCAGATGAAGAGAATGAGTTGCCAGCACACCGATTCTAAAAGAACCATTAAAAGAAGTTTTCCTCTCCACAAAGAAACATGAAATACCCAGAACAAAGAAAGAGCAACAGAACTGGCAGATACCCAGGTCAAGAGAAAATTCTTTTCCTCTTGAGTTCAACAAGAAATTCAGCAGTTGAAAGCCAAAATTAGAATATATCTTAATGGAGTCAAAACCAAAGGGTGTAATTTGCAAGACAACTAGAGCAACAGTGGGGGAGGCCAAGGGGCCCAGGGGGAGGTTTTTGCACATGCCCACACTGGGGAAATGGTGGCTCAACAGACTAAGTGGAACACGGAATTCCTGGAAACACCTGGAGAGAATGCTGCAGAAGGCTAGTCAAAATCACAGCAGATAAAATGGAACACACAAAAGTTTTCTAGTAAGCCTCTGAAAAAAGAAAAGGGGAAAGATCAAACAAAAAAAAAATGATAATAATAATAAAGTAATGGTGGCCCTAAATTCCAACCTATCATTAAATATAAATACATCAAATTAAGGCATTGTCAGAATTATTTTTTAAAAACCAAATATCTGCTGTCTGTAAGAAACACACTTTGAATATGATGGTTCAGATGCGTTGAAAGACCTTGGGCAGACAGCAGGAGGCTAATCTCCAAAGGTAGCTATGACTCAACAATTAACATGACATTCTCCAAAAGTCACCACCACACTGAGCTGAGGGCAAACAGGTCAATGGCTGCTATGATCAAGGCAGAGAGATGGTATGACCACACAGGGGCTGCTACTGGCGCTCTGTGGTGATGGAGAGGTTCTGCATCCCAACTGTGATGGCGGTTACAGAAATCATGTTAAAATTCATTGAACTATACTCCCCACCCCCCCGCAAAAAAAAAAAAGTCCATTTTACTGTAAGATCACTGTTTCAAACAAAACATTTCTTAAAAAGTGAAGAGAAAAATGGGAGGAAAGAGAGACACAAGGAGCCACAAAAGTCAAGCTGGGTGCAGAAAAGGCCTGCGACACTGGGGCTCCACGCGGAGGGAGGAAGGGCAGGCCTTCAGCACACCCCAGCTCTGCAACTACCAGACCTGGGGAGAACAAGAGGAGGGTGGGGCCCACAGGCTTCTCCACCCAGCTGCGGCCATCTGCTCTCCTTCCAGGAAAGCACCTCAGAAGCAAAGGCCATATGGCACCCGACTGCCACCCTCTCCTCCTGCTCCAAGAGCAGAGCAGACTCCAACTTTCAGCAAGGCTCAGTGAAACAGAATTGTGTCCCAAAGCTCAAGTGACAGCTTTCCCAGCACAGACCAGAGCCCTTCATCTTGTTGCATTACAAATTTAGTAAGAAAACTTGGTGCTTCAGAGTAGCTTGTGTCACAGAATCTGTTTCTTCTCTGTCTGCTTCTCAAAAACAGGCTGGGTTGTTCCCGCTCCCCAGAGGCCCAAGCAGAGGCTGGGAGGACACCATGAGCCAGGGAAGCCCCTTCTGCCTCCAGAGCCCTCACCTAGGCAGTCTGTCCTGTACCCAGTGCTGGCTTTATACCAAGTCCTGCAGTAGGTACCTGACACAATTACTCTCTGGGTCATCAAATCTCTTTGAAGTTCTCACTAGTCTCTTCATTTTGTGACCAAGGAAACATAGGCCCAAGAAAGTGTGGCCCCTGGTTTTTCAGCTAAGGACTGTCCATACCCACCAGATGCCCTGTTCAGGGGCCTGGACTCCCCAGAGCAGAAAAGGGCAACGTCCCAGATGTCTCAGTCACACCCATGAGAACTGCAAATCTCTAATAAATCAGGGTGTGGGGCACACAAGGGCTAGCTAGTCCTCTTCACTACTGTGGGCACAGGAGCCTAGTGGGAGCCTAGCACAGTAACAGGAGTGTAGGGCCTCGGCCTCCTGGCTGACAAACTGCAAGGCACACTATCACCCCGTCCAACCAGGGAACGGGGCTCCCTGCAGGAAGGGCAGGCTCCAGACCCACCAGGCCAAGTACTGGGAAGCCCCTCCCACCTGTAGAGGTGATCCGCTGGAGGCAGAAGCCCTTCTGGTAGTCAGTGGGCAGCCCTCCAGGGCTCCCACAGGAAACAAAGGAACAAAGGTTAGCCTTGGCAACTGGCACAGGAGCCCAGCCTGAAAGCTAAGCAGGCCCGAGCTCCTCTAGGTTCTTACTCAAGGTCAGTAACCTGGCTCAGCTCAGCTGAGGTGTCTGAGAAGAGAACAGCTTCTATGGCCTTGTTTCTAGATGTCACTGCAACAATTCTACTGTAAGGTTTGGTGTTTTGTTTCCTTTCAATACTGGGGATTGAACCCAGGGCCTTGTGCATGCTGGGCAAATGCTCTACCACAGAGCTACAGACCCAGAGACAATTCTCTATTAATAGCCCAGTTCAAAGCCAGACCTCCCTCCCCCGTAGCTCCATCAACTCAAGGCTACTGCTTAGATCTGTGACCCAATAAATCTCAATGGCTCTGGGGACCAGAGACAATCTGTCTGTTCTCTTAGCAGACCCACAGGCCCCCAGTGCTGGGGACAGGGAAGAGAGGGGGTGGTAGGAAACAACTGGAGCTGTAGTCCCAGTGAACAGTTACAGGACACACCCTGTTATGTCCTTGCCAGAGCAAGGTCACAAGCAGAGGGCAGACTCAGCAGAGGGAGGACACCAGACCCCAGAACTTCTGAGTGCCTCCAATCAGCCACCCGGTGCCTCAAATGCCCCTCACCGCCATCCCCGTCTCTTCCTAATGCTCCCCTTGCAATGTTAGTGCTTCCACAGCTGTCAGTTACACAGACAGGGCTACCCAGGGAAGTGCTAGGTGAGCTGTTACAGGACAGGAACAGGCTTTACTTACGACAAAGCTGTACTGTGAAGAAGACAGGAAAAAAACAAGAGTTATTGCCAAGGTCCCAAACCTGGCAGTGACAGCAGGCGTCTGCTCAGAGCCTATACTCTCACTAGCAGTACCACCCCATGCCCACCTGCAGCGTCTGTGCCACTCCTCACCTGAGCCCTCATACTTGGGAGGACGGTGAGCACTGTAGGTCTGCTAGGCCCATCCTGCCACTTCCCAGCCCAGGGTTCACACTGAGCCACCAAGGCTCTAGGCCACAGTCCAGAGGACTAGAAGGTCAAGGCAGTGACCCCAGTGTCAAGCTGCTCATGGCCACAGAGCCTTGAACTGGCCCTTTATCAGAGCCAGGCCATACCTGCCTCTGCCTGTCTCTGTCCGGACCCACACTACTCCCAGCAGCCCCAGCTTGAGCAAAGCCAGACCAGAGAACGGGGCTCCCTCACCTTGGGGTCCACACGCAGGGGAGTATTGCGCTTGATGAAAGACTTCATGACACTGCTGCGGGACCCCGAGATTGGGGTCATGAGCATCTGGTTCCTCTGCACTGTGTGCAGAAAGGTCCGGAGGGGCCGTACCACCTGCCAGTGAGGAAAGAGATTAGGACAGGGCAAACAGGACAGGGAACAGCACAGAGTTGGGAGCCTACTCACCTTGCTGGCTGGGCAGGGTGGGGAAGGAGTCTTACACCTGGGGGGCTGCAGCTCCTCATCCCCCAGATGATGCTCGTCCAGTTCACTCATCGCCTGCTTATAGCTGCGTTTCCTCCTGCCCAGGCACATTGGCAACGTCACAGGGCAGACCCATGCACCCTCCCCACACTCCACCATACCCCATAAAAAAACATAAAAAGTCAGCCCTAGCCGGGCACGGTAGCTCACGCCTATAATCCCAGCAGCTGGGAGGCTGAGACAGGAGGATCATGAGTTCAAAGCCAGCCTCAGCAAAGGCTGGTGAGGTGCTAAGCAACTCAATGAGACCCTGTCTCTTAATAAAATACAAAATAGGGCTGGGGATGTGGCTCAGTGGTCAAGTGCCCTGAGTTCAATTCCTAGTACCAAAAAAACAAGTCAGGATTCTGGACTGGAAGGGACTATAGAGTTGGGGTCTCCCTGGCCAGCCCTCTGACTCATGCAGAGAAAGGAAGGTGACCAGTCCAGGGTCACATAGCCAAAAATACTCAGAGGGACAGGGTTTATGACTAGATCACCCCATTCCCAGGCCAGTGCTGGCACCATAGCATTGAACAGCCTCCTTCAATAAGTCAGAACACAGGCCATGAACCCCAACAAGAAAGGAGCCCCTCAACAACGTCCCCCTCTTCATGCAAAGCCTTCCAGTTCATGCCCCTGTGGACCCCTTGAAAGAAAATCACCCACATGCCCCTTCCCAGGTGCAAACCTGACACTCCGGGGTGGCTCTCTGTGTCTATCTGCTTCATCAGTCTTGGCCTCTGTGAAGAGAGCAATTTCAACAGGGCTGCAGGACAATGTTGGTGGGCTGGGCATGGAGGGACTGGGAGAGGTGGCTCCCAGCTGGAGCTATAGGAGGGGCAAGGCTCTTCCTGGCAGCCCCCAGGGTGGCCCGTGACAGAAGTGTAAGCCTTAGCAATGTAGTCACTGGCTCTAAGGAATTTATGTTCATCCAGAGCCTGACACACTATCCCCAGGCCAGAACCCTCAGCCCCAGTGCCTGGTATCGGTGGCAAGAATGGCAGGACAGTCCCACTGGAGCTACAGCCCCTGAAGCTCCATGCACAGTTGCTAAACTGTCAATGGGCCTTGAGCCGGTGACACCATGGCAGAAGGACAGGCTCCTGTACAGAGTCACCATGTGGAATGCAGGCTCAGGATTTGCTTCACACTAGGAGAAAGTGCCCCTTACTCCAAAGGGAACTTGCAGCCACCCTGGGGGCTATAGGGCTGGCACAACCATTGTCATGGACCCTGTCATAAAGAGAAGGAAGCCACAAAATCTTACAGCTACAGTATTCTCCCCACCAGAGGAGAAGCACTCTTCCCAGAAGATGTAACCCCAACCCCAGGATCCCCCGAGGAGCCCAGAAAGCCAGGGAGGGCTGCAGGCCAGCTCCCAGAGCCACAGTTCTCCAGCCCTCTGTCCACAGGGAAGGACCTACGAAGCTCAACAGTGAGCCAGATACAGAGACAAAGCAGGCGGCCAGGCTCTCCCCTCTTCCCCTTGGAGTAGAGTTCAAAGCCTGAACCAGGCACCTCACATTCATACCCCGATTCAGGCCCTTCCCCCTGCTTCCTGCCCCAGCCAGCCAAGGCCACTCGTGCAGCACCCAGCAATAGTGCCAGCCAGAAGATCTATGCTATCTTCAGGTTTCATTTACTCCAGAAAATGGGGTTCCTCATCCCAAGACAGGCCAGGCTGAGACCAGCACGACCTCCTGTGGCTCTGGTACCTGCATGCAACAGGTCAGGAAGACTCACCTTGTTGCCCTTCAGAGGAAGAGGGTGCTTCCTGGTCACCAGCTGCAGGCTTCAATGTGGACGTACTAGGGGCAACCTTGGTGGCACCATGGAGCCTCGAGTTACTCCCATCGTTCTTGGAGGCCTGTGAGAAGAAGCAAGCTTAAGGGGCCCTGCCTGGAACTGAAGGCCTGGGATAACTGTGATGTGGAGCAGAGCCCCGGGGGCCCTCAGGCCCTCCCCCCGGCTGCCCGCCTCACCTCTGGCTTGTCTGCCTCCACAGGCTCATCCTTGTCACTGGATTCCTTGTGCTCAGGGCTGAAAGCAGAAGGGGATACTACAGGGACACCCCGGCAAGTCTAGGCCTTCCCCCTGTCTCTGGGGTAGTCAGTGTCAGAGGACCTGACCTGGGCACACACCGACAGCCCCAAGGCATGATGGGAGGATGACAGCCATGACCAGCAGCTTCCTGGGCAGAGGATGTCAGCTTTGAACCTGGTTTCATCTCGCCCCCATCATGGCTTTGATTGGGAGGGCAGCTTGCTATCCTTTGATTCTTTTTTTTTTTTTAGTTGTCAATGGACCTTTATTTTATTGATTGATAAGCAGTGCTGAGAATCACACATGCTAGGCAAGCGCTCACCCCTAAGCACAGCCTCAGCCCCAACCCTATCATTTGGTTCTTAAAGGTCTGGTCCCCAAAGGTCCCTATGTTAAAGGGCTGGTCCCCAGAGTAACACTACTGGGAGGTGATGGGCATTTTAAGAAGTGGGGACTGGTGGAGGTCTTAGGGTCAATGGGATGTGGTCTGGATGGGGATAGTGAGGCCCCACCGGCTCCTTCCCTTCTCTTCCTGGCCCAGAGGTAAATGGCTTTGCACCCCTAGGCTCTCCTTGTGATGCATGCTGCTGCCAGAAGCCCAAAGCAACAGGTCAGTTGGTCATGGACTGAGACCACTAAAACTGGGAGCTTTTTCTCTTATTAGTTGGTTACCTCAGGTGTCTGTATTGGAAAATTACCACAGATCCCACTCCCAGCTCACTGCAATCTCCTAGACCCAGATGAGCCCTGTCTCTGGGTCCAGGAGCTGGTCAGGCCAGCAGGTATGCCCAACCCAAGCGGTGGCCCTCTGCTCCAAAGCCAGAAGGGAGGGGGCTGGCTTTAGTGATGGCAGAACGTGGCCTCCAGGAAGAGGAGTCAGTGTCATGGCCCCAAGCAGTGTGACCCTGGAATGGGGAGCACTCCAAATCCTCCAGGCTACCCCCCTACCTCACCCGCCCCAATCTGAAGGTGTTCTTCGAGGCTGGTCTGCCTCATCCACAACCTATGGAGCCCACCCTCCCGCCAGGGCAGGCCAAGCAGAGCTGACAAGTACTACATAGAGACTGGCACCCTGCTGCTCACTGGCTGGTTAAACGGGCTGGGGAGAAGGGCAGGGCTGCCAGCAATGCCATGGATGGTCCAGCCCGGGGAGGGAGGGCTCAGCAGCAGGAAATGCTTCCATCCTTGGTGCTCACCTCAACACCCTGGTCCCCAGAGTGCCCTGCCCACACCTGGGAGCGTCCCTTAGCCCTGGAACTGAACTCACCTGACTTTTTGGGGCACCTCAACATTCAGGAGTCTCTCCAGGTAACTGTGACCTGATGGGAAAACAAAGGAACAAAAGGTGTCTTCAGAAACTGGCCATGTACCACACCAAGAGGCTCACAGAATCAGCTCTAGCAAGGGCTTAGCCATCGCTCCCTTCAGGAGACACAGGCCCACCATGTCCTGGGCCCTTAGCCTGACTTCCTCAATGGACCTACAGACTTCATGCCTTCTGCTACTGCCTAACATGGCCACCGGAGGCCTCAACTCAGCTTCTTCACTAGGCATAGCTCTGGGTCCTCAACTCCCAGCACAGGTGCTACACAAGGAGCTTATTCATTCAACAAACATTCATCAAGTGCCTGGTATGTACTGGGCCCTGAGTCAGGCCCAGGGAGCCAACAGTGAGCAAAACCAACAGAGTCACTGTCTGGTCTTCACAACCAACAAATAATCCCATAAAGGACATTATGGTGCAATGACAAAAAAGAGCAAAGGTTTTTAAAAGCCTAAGAGGGGAATCTGAACTGGTCTGGAGGATTCAATGTGTAGAACAAAGAAAAGGAAGAAATGGGAGAGAGAAGGAAGCCCAGGCCAGTGGCTCTCAAACAGTAATCTCCAAAACCTGGATATCCCCAGACCTTTTCCGGAGTTCCACGAGGTCGTAACCATTTCACCCTAATATTAAATAATTACTTTCCATTTTCACTAGGTTGACATTTGCCCTGAAAACACAAAAGGGGTGGGGTGGGAGAAGGGGACTACGGAAGCTTAGCACCAATCAAGACCACAGCAGAAAGCATCATCTTATCTCATATAAACAGTCTAACACTGTCCTGTCTGCTATGTGGGTGCTAACACACAATAAGGGGTGGGAGCGAAGATAGAAGTTCATTGGATTAGACAAAGGGGAACAAGGGAAGGGAGGGAGGATGAGAATAGAAAAGACAGTAGAATAAATTGGGCATAACTTTCCTATGTTCATATCTGAATAGATGACCAATGTAACTCCACATCATGCCCAACCACAAGATTCGGATCCTAATTAGCATAGTTACCCCATATATGTATGACAAAATATACTCTATTGTCATGTATATTTAAAAAGAGCAAATTTTTTAAAATGTCCTCAGTGAAGAAGCATTAATTTTATTAAATCTAAATTCAAGTGCATGTCTTTTTAATATTGTGCTCAACACAGTGGTTAAGTATGTAAAATGTGCATCTACTGCAAACCCAGGTCTCCATGAAAAGTGCCTGTGTTTGAATTGCCAGCTGAACTAGCAATTTTTCTTCAACTTTTTTAGTTGAAAGAATAATTAGCAATCTTCAGCTATCCAATGTTGGATATCTGGACAATATCCTAAAAATAAATGAAGTGAATCCATCCCTTAAAATATAACAACTAATGCATTTGTTGACAATTTAAAAAAAAGAGCTCTCCCCCCAAAAAATAGAATTTTGAAAAACATGTGTCTACCACCAGAAGCACTGCAGTTTCCTGAGACCTAAAGACTTTTCTGATGAGATCAGAAAACAAACATGCTTATTTGATATTACAAAAAGAAGTCTGTGGATGTTTTTGAAGATGTATAATTCAAAGAAACACATCTTCCAAATGACCAATGCATGAGGTTATAAAACCACTTTGATTCAGTCAAAGCGCAAGACAGGTCAATGAGGAATCAACGACATGATTTCATTACAAGGAGTCTTCATGAAACTGTCACTTATTACACTGGGTATAATAACAAAGGACATGCACAATTATCTAGAAAAGCCAGATAAAAGCCCTCCCTCTTCCCATGATTACACGTGTGTAAGGCCAAATTTCTCAGATACATCAACCCAAACAGCAAAATGCAGCAGATAAGATGCAGAATCTGGCTGTCTTCAGCTAAGCCACACATTTAAGAGATCTGAGAAGTGTGGAATAAGGTCAGTCAGTTTTGGAAAAGTCGTTTCAGCAAAAATCTTATGTTAAAAGGTAAAAGGTTGGGGCTGGGGATGTGGCTCAAGCGGTAGCGCGCTCGCCTGGTGTGCATGCGGCCCGGGTTCGATCCTCAGCACCACATACCAACAAAGATGTTGTGTCCACCAATAACTGAAAAATAAATATTGAAATTCTCTCTCTCTCCTCTCTCTCTCCCTCTCTCACTCTCTCTTTAAAAAAAAAAAAAAAAAAGGTAAAAGGCTTGACACTTTAGTTTTTTAATATTAAGATATTAAATATTTTAAATCCTTTAATATTAAAATATTATTAATAGATAACAACTATTAAGTAATTTCTGTTTTCTATAAAATATTAACTATTTTAAATACTTTTAAATTCCTTACTTTTAATTTCTAATATAGTAACTAGCTTATAATCAAAAGCTTTTTGCGGTCCTCACTGATTTTTAAAACTGGAAGCAGGTGCTGAAACCAAACCTTGAGAGCCACCAGTCTAGGGAGAAGGAGAAGCACGTCCCGGAGCCAGAGACAGAACAGCCTTCTGGGGGCGTGGAAGGCAGACCTGCTCAGCTGGCTCAACCTTCTAGAGCGTGACCAGAGCTAAGGCGGAGAGGCAGCTAGGAGAGGCAGCTAGGGTCTACAGGCAGACAGGCAAGGGGATGGAACAACAGAGTGGCAAGGCACCGAGGAGGAAGCAAGAAGCAGGAAGGGGGGACCTCTCTTTCTGGGGTCTGGCAGCCAGTGGGAGGAGCAGCTTCAGAGTCAGAATGGCAGTTATGGGTGATGACTATTCACACGAGAGGGCTCTGTTCCTGGCTTCCATTCCAGCGTCAGAGCAGGTCTGGTGGCAGGGAGGTGGCCTAAGGCCAGGCATAAGGACTAAAGGACTATTCCCCAGTGCAGAGGTGGCCAGGAAGCCACAACAGAATCTGACCTACATAGCAGAACCTTCTAGAAACCCTACGGTGGCAGCCCCTAACCCCTGCCTATCCACTTGAGAGGCAACCTGCCTGTCCACTGCTGCTAGACAGCCCCTCCTCAGTATTTGTGCACCAGGCCAGGAGGGCCAGGGCTTCATGTCCCTGGTCAGCAGCTCCTCACCAGTGCTTCACGCAGGCTTCCAGATGTCCCCTGTGTCTACCCTTTCCTGTCTCATTTCCTCTCTACTCTCCTGCTGCAGGTACTTCCTTCATTTCTAAAAAGAATGAGTTGCATGTAAATCCCTGCGGCAAAGGCTGTTTTAGGGGACAACCCCAACCAAGATGCCACCTGAGTTGCCCATCCAGCCACACCCAAGTCTGGAGTCAGAAAGACACCCACAAAGTCTCCACATCCCCTCTTCACCACCCCATAGCTGTGTACCCTGGTCACACCTACACGGAGCTTCAGGGATACTGCCCTTGCTGTGTTTGGCTTGTTTAAGTGAGATCTACTAAGCATGTGCCGTACCCAAGCACTAGACAGGTTCTCCACCCACATTCAAGGCAGGTACTATCACCATTTCACAGATGCAGAAACTGAGGTTGAGAGAAGGGGTATACCCAAGGTCACCCAGAGTCTCTATGACTCCAGATCCTGGACCCTACCTCCTCCTCTCCCTCTTCCTTCCATCTTAAGAAGGAATATGAGCAGTAGGCTTGGAGTCAGACAGACTTGGTCACATGCCAGTCCACTCAGAAGACCACCTGGGAGCAGAAAAGGGGCAGAGAAGGAAGAGCAACCAGAAGGGCTTGGAACTACAGATCTGATCTCAAAGCATGAGAGGAGCTCCAGAGATCCTCTCTCTTCCTATAGCCCCCGCCTCACCTGCCCCTGCTGGACCTCTCAGGATCAGATTCAGGCCTGGGGAAACCTCCAAGGCAGATATGAGCCACCTAGGTACGTCTGAGAATCTAAAAGGGACAGTGCACCAGACTCCTGTCTCATGCCATGCTTCACAAGACCCAAATTACACCACCACATGACCAAGGGCAGTGCCCGGAGAAACCTGCCAAGGTGAGGTATCTGCACCTGCCTGAGGGGCCCTGCCCTGGGGCTGTCAACAGGCCTCAGCAAGCACTTGCCTTCCTGGACAGAATAAAACTAGTAGGGCTCAAGCCCCAGCTTTCCAATTAATAGACACCATGACCTCCAAAGCCTGTCTCCTCCTGTTGAAGAAAGGAAATCCTAATAAGCAAACAGTGCTGTTCACAGACCAAAGGAGATACACCTTTTCTTTTGCAAATTTTATAAGTTCCAGGCAAATGCCAGTTACTTTGTACCACCCACTAATATAAAACGTGGCCCATCCTCTCTATCAACCTCACTGTCCAGACCAACCTCTAGTCTGCCCTGCAGCAGCCTCCAGCCGCCTGACTCCCTCCCTCCTTCCTCTTGGCCTTTTTTTCCCCCATAATGCTGGGGATTGAACCCAGGGACTCACACATGCTACCTAAGCATTGTACCAGTGAGCTACCTCATCAGTCCTTTTCATTTTTTATTTTGAAAAAAGGACTTGGTAAGTTACCCAGGAAGGCTTCTGTCTCAGCCTCATAAGAATCTGCGATTTCAGGCATGTGCCATTGTGCCCAGCCCTCTTGGCCATTTTTCACAAGGTGCTAGGAATCTTCTAACAACTATCATGGGCTACTTCCTCTGCTCCAGTGGGGTTATGCCCAAGCTCCTCAGATGGCACATGAGCCCAGACACCCTATCACTTATTGCTCTGACCCTCAAGGTCTTTGTTCAAACTGTTCCCGTTAGGGATGCCTATCCCCACATTTTTCCCATCTAGCCAAAGCCCAGCCATCCTTCAAAACCCTCCCAACTCAGACCCGCCCCCATCATGCAGCCCTGACTCACAGAGATGCCTACCTCCCTTCTGTGGCTCATAACACTTAGGGCACTGGTCCCCTTCACTGAGATCTGATGATAATAAAAGCAGCTAATGCCATGGAGTCCTTCCTGTGCCAGGCATGATTCTAAACACCCTAGGTGCAATAATGAAGAAAAGCTCATGATGCCCCTGGAAGGTGATGCTATTATCCCAGGTCACAGATGAAGAAACCAGGCCCCCAAAGACATTTACATACCTACCCAAGGCTGTAGGGTAGGTAAATGGCCCAGCTGTCACCCAAACCCAGAACTCTAGCTCCAGAGTCAACTTGGTCCTCCTACTCCTCTCAGCAGATACTTAGTCATCTGCTCCAGAATGAGCCTGGGGCAGTGAGAATCCACATTCCAAACTAAACACGATTTCACCAATAGGAGGTGGCATTCCAGCATGCTGCATCTAAGTCAGTCTCTGCAGGACAGGGAAGGGGAGGAACACACTGGCTCTGAGAAGACCCTCCTCAAAGGTTCCAACTTCAACGTGGCCATGAAACACAGGGACTCTGGGGCCAACCTCTCTATGCTTCGGTTTCCTCATCAATAAAATAATGGTTGGATTAGACCTTTATCATCCAACATGGCAGCCACTAGCTATGTGTAGCCATTTCAATCTAAATCAAATAAAAATGTAATAAAATTTAAACTTAGCTCCTCAATCAGTCTAGCCATATGTTGAGTGATCAACAGCCAGATGTGGCTAACTGGCAGCTACCATGCAGAACAGCACAGATACAGAACAGTCACAGCATCACAGAAAGTTGTTCAGAAAGTTCTCTGCTAGGTGGTCCCTCAGAAACACTCAGCTGAATCAGGGACCAGGGACCAGTTCACACCACCCCCCACACTCACAGATGATGCGGGCAGAGGCAGCTGGCTCCTTGGCAGCCTTCTTGATCTTTTTGCTTGATCTGCGGCTGGTGCCTTCCTGTCTGGACACCAGGGAATACTTTTGGGTGAGTAAGACTTGGGCATCCGGGGAGGACAGGGCAATCAGGCTGCGACGCACTGACTGAGGGACTGCACGGGAGCCCGTGGGGGTGGAGAAGTTCTCTGGCAGGATGGGGGCCAGCACCCGCTCCTTCCATGGAGAGTCTGGAGAGCTGTGTGAGTCCCACAGACCTGGGGAAGCCTGCGCAATCTTGAGCTTGGACACAGACCGTCCAGTCCCAACCCCTCGACTCTTGGTGTCCTGGGGCGTAGCCATCAAAGAGCTCACTGTGACAGACTCCAGTCTTCCGGCCTCTGACTTCTTAGGTGTTGATTCAACATCCGATGTCAGGATGYCCTGGGAAGCCGAAGGTGCAGCTGGAGTGGGAGCTGGGGATGGAACCTGTGACAGAGCTGAGGCAGCCATGCACTGAGTGAGGCACTGTTCAGCACTCCGGCGCTCGGTAAGGCCTATCACCACCATGGGCTTCTCGGTCAGCATGCTGGGAAGCTCGGGGATAGGTGAAGATTCAGCCGATGCTGTGGAGGAGGCTGCAGCAGCGGCTGCAGCTGCAGCTGCGGCGGCTGCGGCTGCGGCTGCAGCAGCTGCAGCTCGGGTCACCCGCTGCAGCACAGGAGAGCCATTCTCCCCCATCACTGTAGCCAGCTTCTCCACCTTATCCTTGCTACAGATGTGCCGGGAACTCAGCTGGCTGCTCCGAGTCTTTCTGCGGGATAATCTGCTGGGGACAGAAAAGCAGGGGCTGAGATAGCTCAACAGGGCAATGGGCACCCCTCAAAAAACTCAAGCCAGTACAGACCAATCTCTCCAGAAGCCACCAGCTCGGCTGGAGTGCAAATCAGAGGATTGGAGGCAAAAGATTGGGGTTCCAGGGCATGCTCTGCCACCTCTAGCCATGAGATCCTGGCTGCTCAGTCTCTCTAACTATAAGCTAGATGCAATGTCCAGTCCTCACAGAACTGCTGGGAAGATTAAATTACTATAAACTTCTCTCTGACTGAGGTCACATTGTCTAGCACCCTGCTATAAACTTCACACATGATCTCAAGCTGCAAGATGGCCCCGGGGAAGGCAGCACCATCATACCCACTTTGGGGGATGAGGAAACAGGATCAGAGAAGCCCAGAGATGTACGTACAGCTAATAAGGCACAGCACTGGTGTTTACATCCAGACTGCCTGACTCTAAGACCTAGTGACTTCACTCCAATACTTTGCAGTCACCATTTCTGTGAGGAATTATAACATGCCCAGCAACAAGAGGGCTGGACCAGTCATCTGGTCCATAGCTCTGGTCACTCTAACCCAATACAGACTGGTTCTCCCAAACTAGGAATCCTTCCCCTCCCCCACCCCTAACATATACACAGGCATCTGCACTCACACACTCTCTGAATTTCATGGTCTTGGTTATTGCTTCACTGCCTAGTTAATGCTTGGTTAATGCTTCACCCACCAGCACTGCTGCAGGTAGCTGCCCCTCCAACACCTTCCCAGAGGGCACCGAGCCTCAGCAGAGACCACCTACCCAGCACACTTGGCCCTGGCACTCCTACCTCTTCCTGATGGGGTCTCTGTTTTCATCCTGAACACAAGAAACCTGTCTCTTCTTCCGTCGGTTCTTCTGAGAAGGAGTTTTGGGCATCAGCTCTGGCTCTTTGCTGAATTCTCTGTTTGGTACAAGGACAATGACACTTGAGACTTCCTAGCAGAAGCCAGATCCTCCTTTCATTGATCTGCCCTCCTCCCATTTCCCAGCAGTGACAGGTAAAGCTGGGGTTGCCAGCACCAAGAAAGCTCTCCAAGGCCCTGTGTGAATCACCTGCCAGGCACTCAGAGCTTCCTCCGGGACACATGACAGGGAAGCAAGTTCCCAGGTGAGTCCTCACAGCCCCTCACCTTGAGAGGCCCCATCAAGAACAGTGAGCCAGGCAAAGACAACCTCTCCCTCTCCTGCCCATTACACTGGGTCAGGCCCCAGCACACTGGGCTCTCAGGAAAGAGCTGTCTGCTTAGCTGTCAGGTAGGAAGTGAACCTGCTATGTGTCCAAAGCCAGAGCATCCCAAGCAGCCCCTGGTGCCCACACCGCACAGCACCCCTGCCTTCACCTTATGAACATGCGCTCCGCCTCCTCCTCGATCTCCTTGAGCCACACCAAGTCCTTATTGTCCATGTTGCAGACAAAGTCTATGAGCTTCTGGTCACATAGCTCCAGCAGGTGAATGGGTCCTGGGGCAGTGGTCCCCATGGTGGCTCTTTCTGGTGAAGGCACGGACAAGAGACAGAAAGGTTCAGGGTTAGAGACCAGTACTTTGTTCAGCAGAAAAGAGTTGCCAGGCCACAAACCCCACCCCTAAATCACCATAAGACATCCAGTGCCCAAAGCAGGGCCCCTCTCCAGATGCAGAATTCCAAACACAAGTCCAGTGGTTTCATTTGTACATAAAGAAGGACCCTTGCCCTCAAGCAGTCCAAGCACCTCCCTCTCCTAAAATATACACTCTCAGGGAAAGGCTGTCCCAGTAAGTCCATACTTCTCAGCCAATTCTATTACGAATGTTACAAATCACCTTTTTCAGGCTTAAGATGACAGGCACTGCCACCTGCCTTCTTGGATCAGGAAGAAAGCAGGCACCCCAGCACCCCTCTCCCTGCCCAACCACAGGCCTGCTCTTACTCTCCTGCCACCTTTCATCCTAGCACTTGCGGGTGAGTTATGTAAGGGCTTAGGACACAGCCACTCTGGGCTGCACATGAGCTGACCTCGGGCTCTAGGCCATCAGACATCAAATGCAACTGCCTCTTAAGAAGTTGGTAAGAAAGTAGGGGTCCAAGGGTATGTTCTCCGAAGGATCCCACAACCTTCTCCCTAGAGCTGAAATGCCCAATAAATGGATAAAGGAACATGAGAGGAAAAGATAAGGAATCCCTTGCTTTTGAGAAAACTTGTCTCCAAATATTAGGAAAGGGAAAACACAAATGAGGTGGGCTTTTTTCCTTACTTTCTTAAAAAACTAGAAGCTTAGATACCTTCCTTATAACTTGGTAAGAGAATCATCACAGAAGTCCCAAGCTAAGATGAAGTATTCTATTACAGTCAACCGAGGGGTTCAATAAATACCCCAACTGTTAAGTGAATGAAAGAACAAAAGTGTGGTGATCGCGATAAGCCATAATAACAGACTGCACACCTCATGTCACGAGTGACACCCTGATTTTACCTTCAAAACCAAGAAGAGCCATGCACAGCTCAACCTACCACCTAGGATGGAAGGTCTAGGAGTAAGGCCAGATTGCTGACCCCTTGATCCTTCTGGAGCTTAACACTAGGTCAGGTCACAGCCTCAGAGGACTTTCTTAGGTCTAATTTGGGGGCACACACTAGCCTTTGTTCTTCAAAGGAGCTCTGCCCTCCATCTGGAACATTCTCACCCATTTTCTACCACTTGGATCTCAGATCCTCAGTGAGGACCTGACCATCAATCTAAAACAATCCCAGCCATAAACCCATCCATTGATTCAATCCCATGCACACCACTGGGTGTGTTTAACTGCCTGTCTCTGCTCCCAGAAGACAGGCCCTTGTCTGTCTCACTTATCACTGAAAGCCCAGAGCCCTGCACAGCACCTGGCATTTGTTGAATGAATTMATCCATCCATCCATCCATCAATCTCATAGGAACCCCTCTCCACCATCACAACAGACAGTGACACTAACTGAACAACTCAAGGTACAGGTTAGGGCAAGCCAGTACACATCCAAAGCTCCTGCTCCCAAATGCCAAGGGCAGCATTAACTGGGTAGGGCCAAACAGGCAGAAACACACAGGTTCTGGGCAAAGCCCTCATCTGCAGTCAGCTAGACGTGGGCATCTCCTTTCCACTGCCAACCCTCTCCTACCCCCAGCACTTCTGCACCCAGGGCACAGCCCAGATTCCGGTCCAAGGCCAGCAAAGTGGTTTGTAGAGGAACTAAAGGGAGCAACAACCGGACAACTTTTTAAAGTATTTGTTTAAACTGACAAAGAGGATGAGTGATTCTTTTGCTAAGTTCAAAATACCATTTGAACTTCTTAGGGTAGATGTGGTTTTAGCAGACTTTAAATTAACTATTTAAAAAACATCACCATTTGGGGCTGGGGATGTGGCTCTAGCGGTAGCGCGCGCTCGCCTGGCATGCGTGCGGACCGGGTTCAATCCTCAGCACCACATACCAACAAAGATGTTGTGTCCGCCAAAAACTAAAAAATAAATATTAAAAAAAAATCACCATAAGTTAGAACAGAAGGGACCCTGAGAAAAAAGGAAGGAGTGCCATCAGCCTCCTGGAAGAGCAGCAAAACCCCCATCTTCAGGTTAGGAACCTATGAACAGAACCTGAGCGCCCATTGAGGAGCTTTTTCCACACCGTACACCAGACGAAAGCCCCCCACCCCACGGCCCTCCTCTTTTGGGAATACAGGAGGTGGACACCTCTCCACCACACCTCCGTGCAGGTGTCACAAGGGCTACCCCGATTACGGAGTGGTACTCCATGCCAAGACCAGGCAGAATCACTTTTGATTCTCGCCCCAATCTCCAGGACACCCATGTGCAGCTAAGGAAACAGGAAAAAGAAGTCAAAGAAGCCCAGTCAGTAAGGGGCGGAGCCTAGATTTAAATTGTGCTCTTAACCACTAGCTGGAGGCCTCCGGGACAGCGGCCTGGGAAAGCTGGGCGCCTAGTCTCGGCTCCAGGCACCCTCACGAGCAGCCCGCAGCTGAAGGGAACCGCGCTTGACAGCGAACGCGCTTGGGGGGTGACAGAATAAGCCGCAGCGTTGGCCTGTGCGAATGGCCAGTTTAAAATGCTACTCAGCTGGGGCGCAGCATGCCGAGCTAGGGATTTAACAGAACCGAAACGTCCTCTGGCACCGTCCCTCCCGACGGCCCGGCCGGTTTAGGGCTTCCTGGGGGCCCAAGTCAATCAAAAGCCAAGTCCTTGGCACACAGCGCGGTGCTAGGCCCCCGGGTGGGGAGGGGACGGGGTTATTCTCTCGGACCCTAGGCGTTTAAGGGGGGTGGGTGTGTGTGTGTGATCTCGCCACTTAGAAGAAGGGACCCCTACGTTTCTATGTTGCAAGGGGCAGGGGTGAGGGGTCACGAAGCGGGGGAACAAGTCGCTAACCTCCCCCCCAACCCCGCCCGCTGCCCGCGCTCACTCACTTGACTGCACCGAGTCTCTAAAGGGTTGCTCCGATCCAAGTCCGCGGTCTCCCTAAGTAAGCCCCCGCCTCCCAGATCCTCCCGGCTCCCGGCCTCGTAGGTTCTCGGCACCGGAGGAGCAACCGGGCGGCGCTGCGCGGGCGAAATCTACGATTTTCAAAACTGAAGCGTCAGCCAATCCGCGGCGAGTTTTTCCGGACGGTTGAAAAACTCGAAGCCAATCAGATAATAGGAAGAATCAAACAGGTCACTCATTGGCTTTCCTGATTGTCAATCGGAAGGATTAAGAGGCGGGGAAAGGACGCTTTAACCCTCCTCAGCTTCCCGGAACCGCGGTGCGCAGCGTCTAGAGTAAGTCGCCCGCTGTCCGGGCGTCGCGCGCCTTCCGGAACTACAAGCCCCAGAGTGCACTGCGAACGAAGGCGTCGCGCGGCGCGGGAGGGTTGGGGAAAGGGTTCCGCCTTGTCGCGGATGTATTCCCCAAGCCTACAAATTCTSCTGTTCTGTCTCTACCGTTTTCCCTCATAAGGATTGACGGCTTGCCGATTTGGAGAAGTAAAAAGAAAACGGTCCGTCATCTCTGGGGAGGGTCACCTGGGTCACATCTRCATGTCCAAGTGTTTCTAGTAGTTCTCCACGGGAAGCGGTTTTGCCCCCACCCAGCACACACATTTGGCACTGTGTGAACACATTTGTTCTGGGAGGTAGCACAGCCACCCACCCACAGCAAACAATTATCTGACCCTATATATCAGTGTTTCTGCTGTTTGAGAAACTGCTTCAGGCACTTGTGTTGTGGAGGGAAGTTGCCATGGTCTGTAAAAGAAACCAGCTAAATCAGCTCAGCCTGGGTTTAATGTCCAGTACTGAAGAAAGAAGGAAGGGAGGGAGGGAGGAAGGAGGGGGGAAAAAGTAATTTTGGCCTGGTGYGGTGGCACACGCCTGTAATCCCAGCGGCTTGGGAGGCTGAGGCAGGAGGATCACAAGTTCAAAGCCAGCCTCGGCAAAAGCAAGGTGCTAATAAGCAACTCAGTGAGACCCTGTCTCTAAATAAAATACAAAATAGGGCTGGGGGTGTGGCTCAGTGGTTGAGTACCCCTGAGTTCAATCACCAGTACCAAAAAAAGTAAGGGATTGAAGGGATTCAGGAAGTACAATCCCAAAATATGCAAAGTGGTATGCTGGTTACTTCAGGCTGAAGAGAACTGCAGATGCAGAAGAGGGGCTCTTCCTGAATGCCCTCTGCCTGATCAAAAGCAGATCCTCCACCTACAATCCAAGTGTTATAAAAATGCTCCCCAAAATTCTTATCTATCCCGTCAGGGATGAGCAATACACCATAGGTGGAAGAGAGTAGAATCTCTCATCCTATGCAGAGCCCATTCCACCTGAGAGCCCATTCCTCTTTTCATGATAACTCCCTCTCCCTGCGTTGCCTGCATCTTCCTCTCCTGTCTCTTATAGAGAGGTTACATAAACCTTTAGGTTACACTAGGATTGGGGATATTCCCTTTTCCCTTGGGTGATGCCCCCATGTACAGTAATAAATAATAAATCCTATGTCATTGTCTTCTCTCAATTATCTGTCAGTTGTTCAGATGCCAAATTATCAAACCTGCAAAGGGCAGGGAGGGGAAGCTCTCTTCACCCCTACAGGACGCTAGAGAAGGCTTTCTGACAGCAGTTAAGAGGAGTCACAGGTGGAGATAGCATGGAGACGACTGTGATAGAACAGTGGACTTGAAAGCAAGGAGGAAGCCCCTCTGATGGGCACTGTGGTCCTCTACTGCTCGATCTTTTGGAGACCATGGTGGGACCTGAAATGTGGGTTCCTTATGAGATTAAGGGACCCTTTTTATATCAATCTGGCCAAGGGAGAAATTGGCAGCGGCCGGTCTGTGAAACAAAGTGGGAGAACATCCAGAGATAGACAATAGTAGTTATCAAGTCATTTTGTTCTTGCATCAAATAAGAAACTTTWAAAAACTCAGGTCTACATTTGTAATTGACCTCTAAATTCTTTTCTCATCGTTTCAATGGTTGCAAAGGATGTGATTTTCAGTGTGTTGTAGATTTTGACGCTCTACAATGGGACTCTCACTCTTTTAAACAGGAGGCAGGCTACAGGAGAAGACAACAGTCCCTTTGGAAGTGTATGTTCCTTGTCATTCTCACTTGTGGGAAGAAATTGAACAAAAGGTGTAAGTGATGGAGCCATGAGATGGGGCCTCCAAGAAGATAATGAAGATGTGGTGCTTGCAAGGTGGACAGGTCTGATTTGGGGGCCATCAAAGCTGAAGTAATTGAGGAGKGCTGAACAGTGGGGGAAGCTGCCTTGGAATGAACCTTAAGGGACTAACTGGTAGGATTTCAGAAAGTGATGATGGGGACGAAGAACATTCCAGATAGAAAGGAAAGGAAGACGAATTATGAAAGTAGCATGTGTGATCTGAGAGTAGAAGGTACAACTACCCACCCAGAAACTCCTCCATCAGTTAGATTTGTGGCAGAAATTCATATGAATGGGGTGGATAATTCTAGAGGGGTGGTGGATGTACAGAGCTTACCTGCAGTAGCAAAATGGCAAAAATCACAGAGCATAAACGTCTAGCTTCAAGAGCTAAGATGTGGGGCTGCAGATGTAGCTCCGTGGTCAAATGCATGAATAGCATGCATGAGGGGCCTGGCATCCAGCCCCAGGACCAAAAACGAAATAAAAAAGTAAAAAAAAAAAAAAAAAAAAAAGAAAGAAAAGAAAAGAAAAAAAGCTAAGACATCCAATGATGTTCCAAAGAAAATACGAAACTTCCAAGGCCACCAGAAGAACAAACATACGATATTTAATTTTAGTGAATCTCAAACTTGTCTTGAATCAACAACCTTCGACTCATACTAATGTCTTAACTAAATATCACCATGCAACATACCTATGCACCAAGCAAAAGAATTCCATGGGTAAACATGACCTGGACATTTGTAAAAATGTATTTATTATATGTACAGTCGCTGTGTTTTCAGGTAATTGAGGGGAACACAGCACAATTTTTTATTTTCTTGTTAAGGCACTGTCATTAAAACAGGAACCTGGCAGACTTAAAATAGAGTTCAAGTTTACAAGATGAAAGCCTGCAGTGGAGATGTGTTTTTCCGAAAAAAAAAAAATCTCAAGAAGGAAAAGCAGAAAACCAGCTTTACTCATCTTGCTTAGTAAAAGCTATGGTTGAAATTGTCTGATGTAGCCCCTAAAAGGAATGGTGTCAGAAATCGTGGGTAATTTTTGAAGCAGTGTGGGTGTAATTACTAGAATGGTATGTGTTTTTATAATTAAAAAATAAAAAACACGTTGGGGGCAATAAATTTGTTTAAAAGCTTTTCCTGTGTGTTATGTGTCATATTTGTTTACAGTTCTTATCTAACAAATTATGCTTTTAAGCTTAAGTGGAAGTCAATAAAAAAGGAAATTGGTGTATGGATATGTGATGTGGAGATGAAACTTCAAATGGAAATGAAAGGTGGAATGTATCCCCAGAAAAAACTTGAAGCAAATGAAATAATAAGTATGTCCAATAGAATCAAAATACCATAGCAATTTGATACCCATTGTTACAGTTTGGCCCTTCCATGTCCCCCAGAGCTATGTGTTGAAGGCTTGGTCCCCAGCTGGCGCTGATATTGGGAGGTAGGGCCTCACTGAAGGAAGTAGGTCACTAGGGGCATGGCCTCAAAGGGTATATATTGTCCCCGCCCCCCCTTTTTTTTCTCTCTCTCCCTCCCCTTCCTTCCCTCCCTCCCTCCTTTCTGGATGCTGTGAGGAGAGCAGTGTTGCTCAGCCATGCTTATCTGCCTCTCCACCAGCCCACAGTGATAAGGCCAAGCAGCTGTGGACCAAAACCTCTGAAACCACAAACCAAAAGAAAACTTTCCTTTTGCAAAGCAATGAAGTTGGGTTGCAGAGGCTGGAGGGGAAAGCCCTTGCTATAAAATCTCTCACCCTCTCACCCTAACTGTGATGGAGATACCAGACCTGATGATAAAATGAAATTCTAAGACTGTTACGATAAAGAACCAAAGCCTGGGGGAAGGGTTCATCTTCCTAGACTTTGTAGCTTTCTGAACTCCGTAGGAATGGAGCTACATCACTTACTTGCTAGTATAAATTGTAGGTTACTACGCCAATGAACTCTTGCCTAAACTATAACCTCATTGGCTTAGTTCTTAGGAATTTAGCTCTTAAATCTCTCTACTGCTTTCCATAGTGGTTGTGCCAATTTGCAGTCCCACCAGCAATGTGTAAGTGTACCTTTCCCCCCACAACCTCACCAACATTTTTTATTGTTGCTTGTATTCTTGATAATTGCCATTCTGACTGGCGTGAGATGGAATCTCAGGTAGTTTTATTTGGATTTCTCTAATGGCTAGAGATGTTGAACATTTTTTTCATATATTCGTGGATCAATTATATTTCTTTATCTGTGGGGAAAAAAAAGAAATATAGCTCTTATGGAGACAAATGAAATCATCTTGAGTTACTGCTGACTGTGATGAAGGCCACTGCCGCAGTCTGGTTGGGCACAAAATAACCAAGCCGCCACGAGGCACTTGTAGGTTCAAACAGGAACTACTTTATTGCCCAAACTCTCTCCGCCCTCCGGGAACCCCTCGAGAATTCCATGGGAACTCCAAAGTAGCAGGCAGTAGGAGCCGCCCTATTGCCGGACAGCAGGGGTCCATATATACAATACACAGCCTGAATACACAGCCTGCCCCAATCCAGCATCATCCAGTCACAGCAATTATACACAGCTTAACTTAATTATCATCATCTTAATGGCTCGCTGGCCTCACCTCTCAACCACTCCTTCTGGCAATGCCAGGCGCCATCCCAACTCAGCTGTGGCTCTCAACAGGCCACTTTGCAAAACAGGTTGAAAGATCCAAGCAATCTCATTCTGTTTGGGACCTCATTTTGCTCTGAAACTTAACCTCTGACCTACTGTAGTCCTAAAGTCAGGAAAATACTACAGAAAAGCTCTGTGGAAACAGTTCTCRGAAAAGCCGCAGATGGTGATCACCTAAGATAGGCCAAGATAACCACAGATCTGAAATTCCAGATGGCCC